GCAGGAGTTAGCACGTGGGGGGTACCTGGTCCTCTCTCGCTGAGTGCGAGGGAGAGAGGTGGAGGGCGGAGGGCCCTTTCCCTGCAGGTCACATCTTACCGCCTGCCAAAGCAGGCCACTCTGTATCCTGGATAAAAGGCTGTTGGTGGCGTTACTTGTTCTGAGACCCTGAGTGTGTCGTTCTTTTGGAGTAATTGAGAGTAATGATTACTCCCAAAACGGGTCTGGGGCTCTGCCTCTGTAGCCCCTAGAAAGTACAGTGCCCTTGGTTCTCATTGGAGGCAAAAGTATTTTCCTTACAGTTAGATGGATTCCTTCCGTTCTTCCCTTCCATTTCCTTTTGGTTCCTTTCTTCGATTTCTTTCCTTATTCACACTGAGAAGACGTGTGGGTGGTATTGCATGTGGGGTATGGAGGGGAGCTTTGGCATCAGGTGGTCTTGGGGTTGACACCCGGCTCTCACTTGGGAGCTCAGTGACTTTGTCTCACTGTTCCTCATCCTAAAACAGGGCTGCAGAGACCTGCTACACGAAGTTTCTAGGACTGAACGCGGAGTTCCCTGTAAAGTGTGTTAGTCCCGGGCCACTAGGAGGGGCAGACGTAGGGATAGTTCTGATTGTTTCTGGTGGGAAGGCGAGTGGAGTGATGGGAGGCAGAACCTGGGGAAGGGCCTCACCTCGGCAGTCTGATTTGTGCGTGCCAGGGCCCCGGGGCCGGAGCCAGCTGGAAATCTGTCACGGACACCCACCAGCTCAGATGCCCAGGCTGGTCCCGAGGCGCTGGGATCACGAGGCGTAGCAGGTTCCCGATCCACTGGGCTGGCTGTCAGCCGGCGGATGCTGTTTCAGGCCCAGGATGGTGGAAGATCCTGAGGGCGCCGGTCTGGTGCTCTGCAGACAGGCGCTCGAGTGGGCGAGCCCCAGAGAGGCCAGTTAGGACACCCCGGAGGAGCCTGGAGCCCTGGGCCCTGGGGTGGGAATGTCTGGCACCAGGGCAGGGACAGCTCCCGCCCAGGGCACGCCCCAGTAGAGAAGGGCTGGGCTGCAGGGCGCGTCAGGCAGTCTAGACATCTTGTCCTGGCCGCCAGCCTGTGATTTCCTCCCTGGGGACACAGGGTCGAGTGCCACGAGACCGCTAAGGGATTTTGAAACTTTAGGCGCGGAATAAGCCCACATAAAAGTCTAGTCGGAGCCCTTCACTTTTAGCTGCTAACTTGAGCTGTGGGCTGGCTTGTCTGTGGCCACTGTTCCCACCATTTGCCTCTCTGGCTTCCCGGGACCGTGGCTGTTTGGGGGGCTCAGGGTCATCATTCTGCCCCCGACGACTGCCACGCGCTCCCCAGTTCCCTCCCGCGACTTTGATACTCGTGGTCCCAGACAGGCCAGCTCAGAGGCCAGGCTGGGGGTCTGACGGTAAAGAAAAAAGTAAGTTCATACCCCCAGAAATACTTAATGAAGTAAATCATTCACAGTAAGACAAATCCACTTTTTTTCAATATAGTACTCTGGTTAAATGAAATTGCCTATTTTATTTAGGTTTACGTTTTCATTTGTGTTCTTAAAAGTGCTTTTAAAGATTAAACAAGAAACTGAAAAAAGTCACACAATTTTTAGGTCTCTGGCGTAGCTGGTACACAGATATCTTGTTGCTCCAAACTGATTTAATCTTTCCAGAAAGCAAACTAGCTGAGTGTAAGCCAAGTTATAAAATTTTTCATGGCTTCCCTTACCACTGGCTGGTCAATATTACGACTCTGTCCCAAGGAAGTATCCTTTCTCTCAGAACACCCCAAGAACTGAAATATGCCTTGCAGAAACCAGTGTTTCTACCTCTTTGTGACAGTGAAAATATAAGTCGGCCCGAGATAGGGATGGTGAGTGTGGGAGAGGGGTGGTAAGTGGCCCAGGGAAGAGGAGTGGGGAGCGGGCAGGGGAGGAGAGGGGTGGTGAGTTGGGGGGGAGGGGAGTGGTGAGTGGTGCAGGGGCTGCCGGGTCGCGTCCACAGTCCTGCCGCCTCTTAGGTCCTGTGTGGAGAGAAGGTGTGGGAAGAAAAAAGACGCCAGGTGCGAAGCCGCCGGAAGTTCTTCATGAGCTCCTTACTGCACACCTTCAGAGGTGATGCTCCAGGGGCCCATTATCACTTTCGCAGCCGCACTGGGGAGGGCTGGGGAGGCTCCTGGTAGTTTTCAGACCCGGGCCCTGGTGCCGGCAGGGTTTTATGTGTGCTCACTGGTTTGTTCTTGTTTCCCTCTAAAGTTGCTTGAGTTTATATAAAAAAACAGTCGTGAATATGATAGTGCTTCCTTTATCACAGGCTTGACTAAATGTTCACGTTATTTAGAAAAAACGGTGTTTACGGGCTTCTGAGTTTCTAATATCTCTCAATTGAGCATGAATAACTTAACATTTTTTCGTCAAAAATCCCAGACTTCTTTTCGAGATTCTTACAGTTTCTGGGTGATAAAAGTCCCTAATTCTAGACAGAATAAGGATTTCCTGTAAACTGAGGTTTGAAAACGAACATTTCCAGTTGGTACAACATAGCGTATGCATGTGTGTCCAGGTATCTTTGTGCGGAAGCTTAAATAATGCCGTCGAGCTCCCGTTGGTGAACGTTGTAGGGAATCTGAGGAAAGGTGGTTGGAGAGCCTCGTGCTTTATGTTTATACCTACTCATATATTCGCGTACGTGCCCACGTGCATATGTACGTGCTGCCTGCATATGTACATGTACACGGGCACACACATCTTATTGTTTCTCTTTCTCTGAATTGACTGCTTTCAAACTCTCATTTTGATGGGCCAGGATAGCACCCTGTTTGGCTTCTAGATGCCTGTGGAAGGATGACCTCTGCAATTATTCCTGGTCTCTGGAGGCAGCAGAATGCCCCAAATACTCCTTGGTAAGAGTCAGGCCATTGGGACGGCTTGCCCTTGTGGGGTGTCTGTTTTTATGCTAATGAGAAGGTAGCTGCCAGCTTTTAAAATGTCTCCCAAATTGGGCACTCGGTTTTGAAGGAGAAATTTGGAAATTAGCGATTGATTCCACAGACGCCCTCACCCCGTCGCTGGGGGGCAACACTAGCTGCCTCAGCTCAACTTTGCATCACTCAATTCCATGGGAAAGAAAAAGATGCATGGGGCCTGGTCCCTGCCTGTAAGGGCGGGAAACAGGTGCACGCGTGCAAACACGCACGCACGCATGCACACATGCACACACACACAAGTGGGTGCAATTGAGAGGTAAAAATGAAATGCCTTAAAAACACAGGAGTTTAAGGGTACAGACCCTCTCTTGGATGTACCCCTTCCTGGTCTTCCTGCTAATAAACTGAGTGGGAAAATATGTATGTGATATTAAGTCAGAAAAGAATAAAAGTACCACTTACATAAAAGTTTGAAAACCACTTCCCTAATGATTGCCTTCAATAACTGCCTAGGATTAGACCCCAAATCTCATGGCGTCTATTCCAGAAGATGCCTAACTTGTCTTCCAGGTTCCACACAGTTAGCGGCCTTTTGGGCACAACCTGTGGTCCTCCCTGGCTGGAATCTCTCATCTGTTGGATAGATTCCACCGTCCTCTGTGTACCATGCAGGCTTCGGGATCTTCCCCCAGTCCCGTCTCTCGTGGGGACCACTTCCCCCCCCCCCGACCACACTGTACTCTGGCTTCAGGGTTGGCAGTTGAGCTAAATCTAGTTTAACTCAGCCCCGCATTCTGAGAACGTATTGACGTCATTATTTAAGGAGTCTAAGAACTATAGTGAAAAGTACTTTGTAAATCAGCTTTGCATAGAGGAAAATAATCATTTATACCAGGATATATAAAACGTTATTTGTCACTCAGCATTCACTGAAGTGCTAATCTGTGTTGTGTCCCCGCTATGGAAGGACTGTTCATAGCTTTCTCTGGGAAGGCTTTCCAGGGAGGACATGTTTATGAGTGATCATGATCAGTGATCATTAGTGTTGCTGTGTAACATGTTACCCCAGAATTTTGGGGTTTAACACCACGGACATCACCTCACACAGTTTTTCTGGGTCAGGAATCCAGGAATGGCTCAGCTGGGAGGTCCGGGCTCCCATCTGTCATGAGGTTGCAGTCATCTGCCGCTTGACTGGGGAGGATTCGCCTCCCAGCTCACTCTCAGGGTTGCAGCGAGACCTCGGTTCCTTCCCACGTGGACTTGGCCATCAGCTGCCTGAGTGTGCTCACAAGACGGCAGCGAGCCATCCCAGAGAGAGAGAGATTGAGACCACGGTAGTAGAAGCATCCCTGAGACCATCTCAGGGATGGTCGCGGGGACCAATGCTGGAACCCTGTGGCGGGGGACTGGACACGGGAGTCCCAGGAGCTGGGAGGCAGTAGGGCCCGTGGAGGCTGGCCGCCACACCTGTTCCGAGAGGGGCTTTCAAGGAAGGAACGCAGTGAAGTCGTTAGGAAGGGAATCTGAGGTTTAAAGGGCACAGCCCTGCTCACTTTTTTCTTTTAACCAAGACTCCTTTCCTTTTAACTTTCCCTTCTTTCCACCACCCCTTATAGTGCAGATTATGATACACACCGGCCTCTGCCTGCAGCGGTTTCCTCCTCCCAGTAGACGGGGAATCTCACACAGCTCAAAACCGAAAAAAAGAGGCCAGTGTTATTAATAAGGGCTCCCAGACTTGCTGTCTCGTTTCGTTTAAACCTGAGGCATGTGGGTGCTGCTTCTTTCCTGGGTGGATATAAATACAGAGCTTGGTTATTATTGGAACCATTCTAGAAGAGAGAAAATTGCCAGGAACCTGGGTGGCTTAGGGAACTGAATTTTCTGGTTGCTGCGGTTTCCAAGGGAGCTCTTCCAGATCCGTTTGCCAGTTAAGTGTCCCGTGGAGACGATCTTCTGCCTTCCGGGGCTTAACTGACTCGCCCTGGGATGGCTTAGCTGGTGAGTGGCTGGGGAGTGGGACCCCTGGGCCCTTTGCCTCAGGTGACCCTGGCGTCTTTGTTGTCTTCAGGCAGGTCCCGGCAGCGGCCCGGGGCAGAGAGTGTGTGTCATCGATGAGATTGGGAAAATGGAGCTCTTCAGTCAGCCTTTCATCCAGGCTGTCCGCCAGACGCTGTCCACGCCGGGGACCGTAGTCCTGGGCACAATCCCGGTGCCTAAAGGGAAGCCGCTGGCCCTCGTGGAAGAGATAAGAAACAGGAACGACGTTCAGGTGTTCAGTGTGAGTACAACCGGTCCCTGCGTCTGTGACAGTGGAGCGGGTGACCTCAGCGGGGTGGCTCTGAGGTGTGCCTTTGCTCTGAAAGACCATCTCTCCCCGCCCCCCGCTCCCCCCCCCCCCCGCCTTAGGCTAGATCCAGGTGAGTCTGATTTTCTAGGAACTTACAGAACTTAAGTCATACGTGTCACGGATGAAAGGACACATGTCCCCGTGGCCTCCGTCTGCCACAGAGCAGCGCTGTCCACCGGGAGTTTCCACGATGACGGAAGTGCGCTCTCTGCGCTGGCCAGTGCGCTGGCCATCGGCCGCCTGTCACTGTTTATGTTTCAATCAAATGAAAGATTCGTTTCTTCAGTCCCTTTGGCCACACGGACAGCACGCCTGCAGAGTCTGCCCTGACAGGCTCCCGGGGGGCTACCGGGGGGCTGTCGGGGTTCTGCGGTGCGGCACGTGGGAGGGAGGACCGGTGCTGTCACACTATCCCGTGGCGATGTCGGAGCCGACGTACGGGCCTCTGACAGCCCTTTGTCTGTGTCCTTAGATGCTGTCTTGCGCCGTGCCACCTTTGTGTCGGCGAGAGCCGCGTCTCTGCCGGGCTCTGCCCGTACCTGCTCTCCCCACCCCCACCCCCCGTTTCAACCCAGGCCCCGCGAGGGCCCCGGAACAAGGAGGCTGGCAGGGCCGCCCCACCAGCCAGAGTGGGAGGCGAGCTCCGGCTGCCGGGTACCACAAGCGCCGGATGTCGCTGGCTGCCGTGCCTCCGCCGTGGCCCGCCGGTCCTAGCGGGCCGTCTGCGTGCCGTCACCACAGTCTCCAGGGGTACTGTGGGGGCAGGAGACACATGTCAGGGTCAGAGCAGCCAGACTTGGAAAACTTGGTGCAGTCCTTGCTCCTTTCCTTCATTTAGTGAGTATCGACCGGGTTCCACCGTGAGCGAGGTTGCGACGATGCTGAACGAGACCACGTCCCTGCCCCCCGGAGTGGACTTGCTGAGGCGGGGGCCGGACCGCAGCAGCCGGGCGCACAGCTCGGCCACGCGGATGTTGCTAAGTGTGGAGAGGATAAGGCAGGGCGGCGCGGTCGTTGGGCTGGAGGTGGCTGGGGAGACGGGTCCAGCCAGGGAGCCTCTCGGAGGAGCTCCCGGGTGAGCGGACGGCCCCGCGAGGCCACGTGCTCCGCGACATCTGTGAAGTTGGGGCCCTCGTCTTCAGTTTCGTGCTGTTCTTTCTCTCGGTCTCTTACTTTACGTGGCCTCCAAGTGAGTTCGTGGTTGTGTTTCTAAAGTTCCTGTGGAAATAGAGGCAGTGAACAGTGAGAGATGATGAAAGATGAGTGGTTCTCAGGCCAGGCGGCTTCCAGGCGGAAGGTGGGGAGTGGCTGGTCCAGAGACTGGCCGTCTGCACACCAGCGGGGTCTACGAGCCGTGAGTGGGATCAGGGGAGTTGGCCCTGATGTCCAGAGGAGAACATCGTATCTTAAAATAATACCACATCTTCTCCTCTAAAACTGGAAATTATTCTCTGGGCAAGGTAATCATTGCTCCTAATGATGTGTAAATAAAATGATTAGCTTTTGGTTAATTACGGGAGACATAGGGGCTTACGTACCCCGTTATTCTTCTCTTTCTTGTGTTCCTTTGGGGCTTGTGTGATCTTTGTGTTCCCGTTTTATATGAAGAATCTCGTTTTCCATATGTGCAAACGTAGGGCTTGGATTAGATATTTCTGGCATCCTTTCTGTTTCTGACACGCAATAGAGTTCTCCGAATCCGTGTTTGAGAGCAGCCTCTGTGTCCAGCACTTAGTCCGACAGCGCACGTGAAGCATGTCCCCTTCCCTCAAGAAAGATAGATGATGTGACAGTCAAGATCTGGAAGCAGAGAAGGGAGAGAGTTCTGTTAGCAGAAGGCGGGGGGGAGAGGTGTCCTGAAGGAAGTGGTTCTTGTGGGGTTTTGAGGGAGGAAGTGGAGGGAAGAAGGACAAGAAGGAAGAACATTCCGGGTAAGGCAGTAGGTTGTGTAAGGTAGGGAGGGCAGCCTCTCCTTGCGAACAGCTGCGCGTGTCAGGACCGTGGAGATGGGACTGAACTCATGGGGGAAAGTACGCCCCTTGATGTTACTCCTATTGTAGGGACTTGTTCTTTTCTTTTCTTTTTTTAAGTTTATTCATTTATTTTGAGAGAGAGAGAGGGAGAGAGAACACATGAGCAGGGCAGGGCAGAGAGAGAGAGAGGGAGAGAGAATCCCACACAGGCTCCACACTGTCGGTGCAGAGCCCAACACAGGGCTCAAACCCACCAACCGTGAGGTTGTGACCGGAGATGAAATCAAGAGTCGGACGCTTAACGAGCTGAGCCATGCCGGCGCCCCATCTAGACTTATTCTTAGTAGCATCAGGCAAACAGCACTGCCTTTCAGAAAGACACCTGGAAACTTCCAGTTCTAGATACGGTGGAATAGACACACTTCTCCCTGTTCCTCCTGTGAGCTGTAGCTGAAACTGTTGGACGTTACACATAAAACAAACGTAAGGAGACCTGAATGGTGGAAAGAAGGTGGCACGCCGGCTAGGAAGCTCAGCCAGGGGACACCACCACAGACACAACTGAAAATCGCTTGTGCTGCCAGGAACCGGGAAAAGCAACTTGAGTGAAAACATCAACACGTGCCAACAGCAAGGTGACGTGAACGTTAGAATCACAGGGCCGAGGTTTTAAAGCAGCCGTCACAAAAACGCTTCCGTGATCAATTGCCAACACATTTGAAATACAAGAAAAATAGAAAGTCTCGATGAAGAAATGGAAAGGTCTAGCAGAGCTATGGGAGACATAAAGAAGAGTCAGATAAAAATTGTGGAACTACAGTAACTGAATGAGGTAAGTCTCTGACGGGACTCCCCAGCAGAATGGAGACAACAGAGGAAAAAAATGGTAAACCTGGAGGTAGAACAATAGAAATTGCCCAACAGAGCAGGCTTGAGGAGGGGGGGTGGCGAGGAAGAACAGAGCCTCAGGGACTTGCAGTACTATAATAAAAGATCTAACACCCCTGTCATTGGAGGATGGTCTTGGTAATTTAGAAACTTCTGTCGTGGTGTGGGTATTGACGGTCGCCTTCCTGTTAGGCTTCTCTTTAGGAAGTTTGGTTAAATTTTTTTTTTTCATGTCTTGTAGAGTTTACTGATCTCTAAGTGTGGCCACTGAAAAATGTTTTTAATTTATTTCATAGTTGCTTATTTGAGTGTAATTACATTAATGCTGCAGAGGCAAGAGAGGAAGATCTCCATGGATCAAGATTACTAGAAAGAGCTGTGTGCACTGTTTTCCTAGTTCTCTAGTAACGTGAAGAAAAGATTTTATCCCTGCTCGTCACTTCCAGTGGAAGTGCCACACACATACACATGTACACACACACATACACACGTGTGCACGTGCACGCATGAGTTTGGTTGTCTTAGAGGCATTTAGAAAGCATATTTCTTTTGATTTCCTTTGAAATATCTGCTTGATGGAAACGCTGGGAATGTTATTTGCTGACGGGACAGAAGAGGCAGCTGGAGCCTGGAACGTTCATTTAGATGCCGACGTGGCCACCAGTCACTGAGCACTGGACTTGGGTGCTGTGCCCAGTACTGTAGACCCACCAGTGCAGACTTCACAGTACCCCGGTGGGTGTGTCACATAACCTTTATTTTATCAAGGCTGCATAGCATGTCCAAGGTCTCTCAGTAGGCTGCAGAGCTAGGGTTCAAGGCTCCGTCTGTCTCGCTTCCAAGCCTGAGTGTTAGCATAATGCCGTACTGTTTCCTTTGTTGATGGGGTGGTTCAGATGATTTTGCTAAAAAAAAAAAAAAAATCTCAGGTTCCTAGAAATTATTTGGTTTTCTACTTTATAAAGTGTTGCTATAACTAAAATCTATTCCACTATCCTGAATTCAGAGCCTTTTACACTTGTTTTTTTTTTTTCCATAAAGCAGTTTTTATGCTTTTAATTTTTATTTGTGGATTGTAAGATCACAATTTGTGGATCGTAAGATCACAAGAATAACAGGAAGTAGGTCCCGACTTCCTTCCATTTTGGAAATTCTTAGACCTCTTCTTGTTCCTTGGTGGGTGTTTTCACCAAGCAGGGCATAAAGCGTGTTAGTCTCACTTGGAATTTGCTGCTGCCCTCCCGGCCTGTGGACTCCTGCAGATACAGGAGTGAGAGAATATCTGTTAACCTCTGGGTGGAAAGTCAGGCAGAGTGTCTGTAGAAGTTGACAAGCCAGTCCTGAAATTCACGTGGAGATGGGAAGGACCCCACTGAAACAGTCTTGAGAAAGAAGATGTTGGAGGACTCCTACTTCCTGATTTTGAAACTTACTACAACCTTCAGTGATCGAGACAGTACGGTCCTGGCCGAAGGCTGGACACATAGATCAGTAGAATAGAACTAAAAGTCCAGAAATAAATCCTTACGTCGAGGATCAGTTCATTTTCAGCAAGCATGCTGAGACAACGTAATGAGGAAAGAATTGTTTTTCAGCAAACTGCATCCAGTGCTGGAAAACTGGACATCCTCATGCACAGAAGGCAGTTGGACCCTTACATCATCTACCAGAATTAACTCAGAGTAGGATCCTAGGCCTAAATTTAAGAACTAAACTATAGTTCTCGGAAGAAAATACAGAAGGAAGTCTTGTAAACTCAAGGCAGGCAAAGTCTTACTTGATACAACGTGAAAATAATTCTTGGCTTGGAAACTTTAACCTTCATGAAAAAAGTAGAGCGAAAGGGATTGGATTCAGGAATAATCCTAATTTTAGGTTCAGTAACATAAAGACACAACATGAAACAGGCTAGTAATAACTTTGGATGTGTGTTAACTTATGATAACAAGCATTGTCAAATTACTTTCTGTAATCCGTTGCTTACTAGGAACTTGTCAGGGTCTTTCCCACAGGTTCAAGGAAAATAACGTATGTGCAGCGAGGGGCATTTTCCCTGCTGCCTGTTCCTGTATCTGAATATTCACAGCTTCGCTGATGTCCGGGTGCCCAGGTTGTTGACTGGTCGCTCTCAGGCCCTTCCGTGGCCCCTGGAGGCAGCACACACAGAGCAACGTGGATGCTTAAGACGGTCAGAGTCTTCACAATCTTTATGTTATCGCTCAGCTGTGTTTCAAAGACCCTGCTCAGCTCTCAGAATGCAGTAAACATCTACTGGGCACCCCCCATCCCCACCATGTGCCAGACACAGGATGAATGAGATGCCCCTGTCCCCAGGGAACTTAGGGTCTGCTCTTCATCAAGGGCCACCGGACAGGGCAGAGGGCTCAGGTCTCACTTGGCATCCTTTCTCTTGAGGCTGCAGTGCAGTGGGGTGGAGAGTGCAGGGGCTTCCTTCCTGCGTTCTTCCTCAGCTCGTTCTCGTCTGCGCCCAGTGCTGTCTCCTCGGTAAGGGCTTTCTGCGGCCAGCCTTCTGGTGGTTGAATACAAGACAAGGATTGTGCGCGCAGGGGAGGGCCCCTGAGGCTGACAGATGATTTTTTACTTGTTCTCGCATTTGAGAGCCCGTCTTCAACGCACAAGGAACGTAACAGTAATAACACTGTAGACAGTTTCATATAGACCTCTTACTGTGAAATTTTCAGAAAGAATCTTAGGGCAATCAAAGGGGGGTAGCAAAATATTAATGTCGTTTTTTTGCATTCGTTACATTTTTAACACAAAAACATTCTCAAAATGAATCTTTTCCAGTGTTTATTTTTTTCTATGGAACTAGGGCTTGGAGCATGCCCTCAGCGTGTGGGACACACCGCCTCCGCCCCTGCTGTGACACCCTTACCCCCTACAGCTCCCTCGGAGGGCCTGGGTGGGGCGGGGGCTCACTCACACCTGGGCGATGGAGCTGGGGCATGCTTGCTGACCGGAGGCCCGGCGTGAAGTTGAACCGAGACCAGATGGGGCCTTGCGAGCTGGGTCCTAAGACCAGGGTGGCCACGTGATCATGACCGTACGAAGTAGATGGTGAGGCATTGCCCAGACATACAGAACTGTGCCTGCGTGGCCTGTAAGCGCTCCTTTTTATTCCCTCTGAAGCCCCACGCCTGTTAGATCCCCCTGCTCTGCCCGCCCTGGCTGTGCCGCCTAACCAGCTTCCACGCAGACCCGGCACCTGGGGTCATGGGGCCTCCCACCTTCTCAGCCTTTCTTCCCAGGCCCGCCCCCCCCACCCCCAAGCGCCCTCTCGAAAGCCTGGGGATTTACAGAGTAGGGATGGAGCCTCCGCTCCTGCCCCAGCCTCCCTGCAGGTGTGGATTCTGCCCCCACCCGCCCTCCATGCTCTCCTCACTGCAGCTCGCATTTACAACCGAGCAGCAGTGGGACTGTCCCCTGTGCAAGTGGAGGATCAAGTGCCCATGACCGTGCACTCCTTTCGGTGACTGGCTAGAGAACCCAGGGGATAGTTGAGGCAGGGGTGCCTGGAGCGAGCAGTGCCCTAGTTGCCCCTTCTTTCTCACCCGTGCAAAGCTGGCATTAATTCTTTCCCTCTGGTCCAAGTGGTCTCTTCCTTTCCTCCTCCTCCCTCTCCTCCCCCCCCCCCCCCCCACGTCTCCTTTCCTCTGTCTTTCCTTTCCGTCCCTCCTCTCCCAGCTCCACGTCTCCTGTGTTATAAATCTTACATTTCTAGGGGAAGTAGCCCCAAATGCCCCTCATCTTGTATTCTGCCCTCTGAGGCACACGGTAAACTCTCAAACACTCTGAGGGCAGAGCCTAGGGTAGTTCCTGGTGAAGTCAGCGGGGAGGAAGGGATCTAACGGCCCCTCTCCACTAGCACAGTGGGGTTACGAAGCCCCCTGATGAGCCTGCCAGTTCCCACCACTGTCTTCCCCTTTCCTCCGTTCACATCAGCAGACTTCCTTGAATGCAAACAGCAGAGAGGGACTTGGCTAATTTAAGCAAAAACAGCAACAGAAAGCCTTGCAAGGCTGTGTGGCAGTTTCTTCTCAAGCCGGAGCAGAGCTGATGGTCCTCCTGGGACCACAGACCAGAGCAACAGGGCAAGGACCAGTGCACCTCGTCCTTGGACTTAGTGTTAGAGGTGGTGGCCTCGCCGTTTGCTGCTTGACTCAGTCCTTTCAGGACTCGGGCTCTCGGGAGGCTCTTCAGGCCCAGCTGGAACTCGTTGGCCAAGAGCCAGTTTCCTAGATGACGTCGTCTCCCAGAGGAAGGTCACAGTGCTCTTCGAGGAGGGTGAGTGGGTGCTGGGGAGCCACGGGGATGAAGCCCGCCGTGCGTCTCCATCACACGTTCATTTAGCGCCTGCTCTGTGCCAGGTGGTCCGCTAGAGGTGGGCGGGTGTGGACTCGTGCAGTGGGCAGTCCGGTCTCCGGGTCCGCCGGCACTGAGCCTGCTGGCTCTCCGGATGCACTCACTTCCTCTTTCTGCGATTCTTTGCTTGCGTCTTTGTCCGGGGGACCTTCTCCCATGTCCACCGGTCAAAATTCAGTCCAGTCCAGTCCACGGAAGTCTTTTCTCGCCCCGCCGCAGCTCCCGTGCGCCTCTCCAGAGTTTCTCTCCCGGACCCTTTACCACCAGTGCGCTCACTGTCCACGTCTGTCCCTCTGTTCTGCTCTGCCAGCTCCATGAGGTCAAGTCCCTATCGGAGTCCTCTCTGTGTCCCCAGTACCTTGCTCAGTTTCTGGTCGCCACCCCATCGATGTTGAGTGGGTGCGTGTGGGGGCCGAGCAGAAGGCACACACAGGGGACGGCTGAGGAGGTGGCCCTGCCCCTACCACCGTCCTGGTTGGACCGCCCACCGTCCAACCCCCCACCCAGGAAGGGGCGTCTAAATGCTTTTCTTGGACTCATTGGGACCACAGCAGTAAAGGAAAGGAAAATGAAAACAGATCACCGGGTAAAGTGTGAATGAACTCCCGGTTCCTTTGTGGAAGGATGCGAATTACAGAGGATGCAGCCGGAGTGGGGGGATCGAGGTCTAGCCTCTGCTGTGTCCCCAGCTACCTCCGAGGGCTCAGTGTGGTCCCGGCACCCCCCGGACTTAGCTTCCCCATCCTGCAGATGGGGAGTTGACTGACGTCAGAGGCTCCTCGCCAGGCTCAGCTTTTCCATGTGGAGAGACGAGTAGATTACTGACCTCTGGGACTTCCCAGATTTCAGGTTCGGCCGCTCTCGGTGGGCTCCTCGTAGGCGGTTCTCCTGGTTCAGGTCAGGTCGCACGGGGGCTGCGTCCCACCTGCATTGACATCTACCCAGAGCCCCTCGAGGGGGTCAGCTCCCAGCTCCTCGTGGTTAGAACCACTTCCACTGTCTGAGCTGTCGCTTTGCAGAAGCAGGGGTGGCATTCGACCTCGCGTGTCCTGTCCTCACAGTGCTCTCGGCCGGGGTTTTACGAAACCTGCCTCCCCTTCCCAGGCTCTCCCCGTAGAGCACTGCCTGTCAGAGGATTGAGGAAAAGGAAGGGACTCTGAAGCCTTGTCTTACTTCCCCCACAGGTCACCAAGGAGAATAGGAACCGCCTTCTGCCAGATATCGTGACGTGTGTGCAGAGCGGCAGGCAGTGAAGACGGCTCGCGTCCCTGCTTCGTGCGCTTGAAGAGGTGTGCTGGTTCACGCGGAGCCTCCTCGGGGCCCTGCCTGGCAAGGACTTAGGCCTTCCGGCTTCGGAAGCCTTGTGGGTTTTTCCGGAGAAAGCCTGACAGCTGTTCTCCAAAAAATGTTTAAAAGATCAGTTAGCCTTAATGCCCGACCTGCACTCCACGATGAGCAGTCCGCCGCGGCTTATTTATGCCGAGGGGGTCTGTTTATTTCCCCTTGCAGTTACGCGTATGATTCTGGTAAATTATGGAATGAGAAATGGCTTTCGGGGTATTAGATGGAACTCGCCCCCACTGAAGTTCATAAGCGTGTTCCGGGGAAGGGGGAGAGGAGCGGCCGCTACCTAACCGATTTTGCACGTCCCGAACTCAGACCCCGCTCCAGTTGGAGCTGTGGTTTCAAGGGACACTAGTTACTTGGTTTGTAAAAATAGTTCAGGGAAAGGCCAGTTTCGGTCCTCCCCGCCCATCTCATCGTCTGTTTGCTTATTGCTTAGTAAAATAAAAATAAATGTGTTGGTGCAAACGCGTGAGCCCTGTGTGGAGGCAGGTCTTCATTCTGTACTCAGGCCTGTGGGTTCGGGTCGGAGCCCCCACTCTGGCCACGTCAACTTAGACGTGGCCTTAAACCGTTCCCTGCCCCGTTTCCCTTCCAGAGTAAGGGGGAAACGAGTGTCGTCCAAGGAAGGCGATGCCACAGCGTGGAAGGAAGCCGGCAGCAGCCGTCCGTGTGATCCCCTGGGGAGGGCCCGGTGCCGGGAGCTGGGGCTGTTGAGAATGGTGTGGAAAGATCAGGTTCAGCCTGTCGCGGGGCGGCTGTGGAAAAGGTGGCAGGTGGTTGACGGTACTGCGGAGACCGCACGGTGCTTTTGGGTCCTTTCTGGTGCAGATCCGCGAATCTCCAGGGTACTTGAGCAGCCGGCCTTAGCTCCAGACCCAGCTGGCACAGATGCCAGGCGTGCCCCTGTCTGGAACGGTGGCCCGGTCTGGGCGTGCGGAGTGAGGGGTCCTGAGCACTGGGTGCACTGGACAGTACGGGAAACACTTGCGTCTCTGAGCCGGGACAGTGGTCGGTGGCCCCTGACGGGCTCTTTGGTCAGGATCCTTTCTTTGGTGTTTCCCCAGGGGAGCCTCCCGAAGCTTGGTCTGGATGTGCTGAGCCTTTGAGGGGTCACAGCTGAAAGGCCTACCAGCTTATGAACTAATCTCTTATTACAGATCCAGAGTGGGGACGAGGGCATCTCTGTCCCGCTGCCCAGGCCCGAAGGAGGGCCACACGCAGGTGTGGTCTGTGCACCTCCGTGTGTCCGGATGGCCACGCCACTGACTCAAGCAGCAGAGGCTTCCTCAATCCCCAGGAGCCTGGCCGCTGCCTCAGACCTACTCGCCAATGCCCACAGTCCTGAGGATCCCCGCGCGGCCTCAGGTAAACTGAGAAAGGGAACAGGCTGGGGAAGCGTCACCTACGTGCCCCTGAAGACGGACCCCGCACAGGCCTGGTGCAGCCGGTCCGCCCTGGCCAGAGGGAGCCCATCACATGGAGCCTTTACTGGCCCTGCAGGAGGGGCCTGTCTGTCAAAGTGCGAAGGGACGTTCTCCTCTCTGCTGCTTGTCCTGAGCTCTGTGTTTTCAGTCATGACTATATAGTACACTGATTGTGTCTGAGAAGGAAAGCTAGTGAAATTTCTCGCAAGAAGGTAAAATTGCTAGTTTGTGGGCACGGAGAGCTGAAACCAGGTGGGCTGTGGAGGGTGGGTGAAACAGGGTCCTCGGAGGTACCCAGTGTGCAGAACAGATTCGGGACGGCCCCCAACACGTAGAGGGGATGCGAGCTTCTGCGTGCTTCCTCTTTAATGGTAAAGAAAGCTGCCTTTAGTGGCAGATACAGAGTTTGAACCAAGTCTGTGTGGCTCCAAAGCCCAATGTCTTTCCACTCCTCCCACTGTGTCCCTGTTGAAGCTTTCTGTCCTTTCCTGTGCATCGTGTGCCCCCAGATCTCGGAGCTGACATTTTGCTGGGATAAACTGGCAGCTATAAACTGGAAGAGCATTTCGTGGTGGCTCTGGCAGGGACCTTGAATAATTTGTCAGGATGATCAGGGGCACATATGAAGACATCAGAAGCTATCCCTGTGTTTTAAGAAGTTTAATAAAGGATAATGCTGTGGTCTGAATGTCGCGCCGGGGGGCGGGGCCGGCGCCCGGGGGGGGGGGGGGGGGGGGGGGGGGGGGGGGGG